GAAGTCTGAATAAGAAAGTCACTTAGCTCCAGGTCCAGAAGTACAATGGATGACTCATTTGTTGAAAGCCACAGTAGACTTGTGTGGCATGAACTCCAGCAGCAGTATGCATTCACAATCCAAGATAACAGTTGACATGAAATTTGCATTATACTGGTTATGGCTTATGCAAGAAAGCATTCCAGTTGATCAACTCACGTTTTTGGAAAGTTCTTATATTAGCATCCACATGACTTTATTAACCCAAAAGACATCTTTGTTAACATAGAGGTAATTTATTGGTGTTGTACTTTGAAATGATGATTATAATAATTGTATAACAAAGTAAAAATAATAGTGACTACTAAACATACACTACTGGTAGCATATTTAAAATTAATAATTATTAACTGACTGGTCTTGGGGCCATTTGCTGAAATATGCCAGACTTGGCTATTATTTACAATAGAGCTTAAATTTGTTTTGATATAAAGTTTGTCTTATAATCAGGCCAACTGACCATTATAAGATCCCCCCAATATGAATACAGTATCTTTCTCTAAAACTAGTACACAGTGTTACATCCAGTATATCAACACCACCCTATTTATAATTATCAAATTTTGAGAAGCTAGATCTTCTGTTGAACCATTCATCTTCCTGTGACCTTTTAATTTCAGTAATGGAATAGCATCATTCACCAAGTCTTTACACTATATTTCACAGCATGACTTTATCATTTGTGCTCTATGGGTGCAAAACTTGATCTCTCACTTTGAGGGAGGAACACAGATAGAGGCAGCTAGCTCAGGAAATAATCCAGTGGCAGGCTTCTGTGAACACGGTTATGAACCTTCGGGTTCCATACAGAAAGTGGGCTATTCTTTGACAAGCCAAGTAACAATCAACTTTTCAAAGAATATCCTGGACCACAGATTGAGTGACTTTATAACTATTTCTGGTAGGAATGAAGAACACAATTATCAAAGAATAATACCCTGATATTACTATACAACAAATGATTTCAGAATTACTTTTATACCTTCACATATACTGAAATTAATTTTTGTTTGTTTCTGTAAATATAGTGGTATCATATTAGTACGTTTTTTCATTGTCAGCTTTCACATCATAGAAATCCAATTTTACAAAACAGTAACAGTTTCTATGCCTGAAATTTATAATACTCTTCAGAAATCATAAATACACATGCAGTATTCACTTTTATACAAATTCATGCATTTCCACTCATTATACTCTTCACAGTAGCATCAAAATTCCTGAAAAAAGTGAAACCATATATAAAAATGCACATAAGTAACCAGCATAAAGTAAGTATTAATTACTAAGGCAGTAGACTTTGGATGGTCTTGTAACTCAGGTTTGTTGCCAAAATTACATACAAACTACTGAATGAATTTTTGTAAAATTTCTGATGCAAATAACAACTTTGAAACCCAACAAAGGAAGCTGTACTAAGAATGATCATATTTACTACATTTTAAAGAATGTTTTAATATTTCATATATGTGTGAGATATATAGACAATATACAGTTGCACTTACTTGGAAATAATTGGATCACCAGGAATATGGAAGGGATTACATACAACATCAGTATAAATAGTATGCAGCTTTCGAAACATCTGCAAACAGAACATAAGTTCAGTCCATTTATTTTGAAAAAGATTCAAAGTTGGCAGACAATCTCTTCAGCCACATATTCTTAAAAACATATATCAATACTTTTGGGTGATCTATATTAAATAACACATTGCAAGTCATTAATTTCATAAACTGTCCTTTTAACAATTTTTGATTTTAACATTAACTAATACTCAGCTTGACTCACTGGAATGACAAAAAGCAAAACAGCTACCCTGATTTGGTATTTTTCAGATTATCTTAGTTCTGTGGTCACTGTCCATGCTGTGTCCCACTTAAATTAGGGCATGACAGGTTATGCCAGCTAAAATCATCTCTGAAACAACAAATATCATAATTGTCCATTTGTTCTACAAAGACACCTACCGTTCTTACTTCATTATCACGAAGTAATGTATTAGATGATTCAACAACAATAATAAATTTGATTTTGGTATTAGTTACATAACCAAATCTGCATTTTGTCAAGGTAGACTTAGAAATAGTTTTAAAACAAACTGGCTAAACAAGCAGAATTTTTTTAACTCTTACTGTCAGTAAAGTCATGTTGTTCCAGTTTTTCATAGCTATGACTATTTCTTCTGCAGCTGCATATTGCACTGCACATATAATAATTTTTGGCACAAAATTTCTTTTCTCCCCATACTTATTTCAATACGATTCTTCTTTAACAGCTTAAACAAGCAATAAAAGGCTGTCACTATGTAATATTCAAATCACAAGAACTGCTATGAAAAAAAGAGCATTTAGCTGTTTTGGCTTAGGCCCTTCACAACATATTTATGGAGGCACACAAGTTGAAGCTTGAGTAGTCTCAGCATATAAACAATTTATTGAGTGCATTTTGAATTCCTTGGCATAGGACCAAGCAGCAGACTGACTCAGGATTTGTGTAAGTGAATGCACAGGGATGATCGCATATTAGCAGATGAAGGATAAATGTATAATTGCTCAAAATAATAACACCACATGAATTCTAGAATCATGCAATAGCAATAACTTAATACTTATCGCTTTCCATTTAAGACAATACCACTATTTTACTGTATACAAAAACAGCACTTACTTTGTACTTTGTAAGAATCCCCTAATTTGAATGGTATTGATAAATATAAAGATGATAAAAAACTGATGGAAAAAAGGCTATAGTGCTAGAACTGCTATAATATACTTAATCTTTCTATATACCACCTGAAACTGAATTTTAATGAAGGATACATTTTGTGTTCCTCTGTGGAATACAGCAAACCAAGATACAATTCTCTCACATCTCCACTGGTTTTACCAACAGATGATAACTTCTCTTCAACAACATCAAGGGAAGTGTGCACTTTGTACTGAAATTGTAGGTCCAGCTCTGGATTTAGACATGATATGTACTTTGGAGAATTCTGAAAATAAAAATAAACTATGGGTACTTTTATGTAAAATTCCACGATTTGTAACAAAGCATGTTCAAAGCAAGCAACACTGTTATGTACCAAATATTATGTCACACTGGTTCAGAGCTCCTTCCTTTATCTATTATTCAGTGTGCTCACCGTACTGAAGGAAGCCTCAAAGAATAACGGTACCGTAAAGTTTGTCGTATATGGGCATCACTGCATAATACACGCAAACTGCCAACTTCACATTCCGATAGCCTTATCCTCGGGGAACATTATATTGGGACGTGGGCTTCATTATGCTTACAAAGGCGCAATTTAATTTTCATGATTAACTTCAGTGATAACATAAATACTTGTCCCTTACACTGGCAGTATATAGAAGTATTAAAGCTCATTAGTCGACAGAAAAAGGACCTAAATCAAGCCAACCTAACGTTGATCGAAACCACCCTGCACCTGTACAGAAATCACTTAACCTACAGTATTTAAAACATTATTTATTATCCTGTTACGAAGTTTTGTCATCTTTATTGACAACTTCCTGTCAACTCCAACTAATGTAATTTATTTAAGCTGAATAATCTACATGGTTAAACAGCAGCCCCCAACCCCGTTTGCAATTTGACGGAAACTCATCCCTAAACTACGTAAGATTTAGAAAATAAGTGTCTACTGACGAATATTCGTGGATTATAAATGTATCAATGTTCATGTCGTTTTTCCTTAGTACAGATATAAGATGCGAATAACGTCGGTCGAAATTAACTATGAAAAAACTTACTTCTTTCCCAATGACCGTAACACAAACCGCCATGTTTGTACGTTGTCGATTGTAAGTCGTTGAGGAGCAATATTTCGATCTTGCAAGTACATCACTAAACAGAATGGGTTTAGCTGCTTTTCATACGCATGTGATGTTTAACATGTTTTAGATCCGTTCAATTTTGGATGGCGCTGGCAGTGTGAAAAGCTGTGTGATGTAAATACATGAAGTTGCAGGTTAGGAAGATAGGATGGCAGAAGACAACGAAGTTGCAGATTCGGATATAAGATCAAAACATTCCATGTGTAGGTCATTTGTCCGATTTATTAATAATACCGATCGGAAAGTGGATGTCATATGGATAAATTTTGAAGGACAACATGTCAAGTATAAGACACTTCCACCAGGTGCATTTTTTGATGCTAATACATATGCTACACATCCATGGTTATTCATAGACTCAGAAACACAAGATAAACTTGTAGTAAAGTCTGAGGAAGTTTTCCGTCCTGAGCCATGGTATCAGCATTTACATAGAGAGGAGTTCCCACGCAGGGCAGAGCGAACACACGTGTACATTACCATTCCATTATATACACTTCGTGAAAGGTCACTGCAGGTTGTAAGGAATAATCTGTCACAACCTGATGATGCATTCAAATTAGAACTTCCCAACTCGCTGCAAAGAGAACTTGCTACCATGGTAAAAGAGAGTATGACACCTCGAAGTATTGCAACATATTGATGTTTGAAAAGTAATGTGCCATATAATTGCCAGTTGTATTGTGTAACAGCCAGAACATGAATGGCCAACAGTGTTTTTATTTTATATTCCAACAATATTCAACTGACATAAACATGACATTGTGATTATAAGTGGTGCATTTATACTAGCTTCAGATTAGTAATGTAAATTAATTTAAAATATTCATTATATTTTTCATCAAGTGTTATTTCTTCTATCTACAAATTAAATATGTTCATTCATATCTTAATGTATGTTTTTCCTGAAACCTTATGCTAATTTTTATGGTGATACTCATGATTATTTAGTAGAGTTTATAGTTTATTGCTTGAAGAAAGCTATTTCTTAATGACATGAAGAAAGTCATCTTCCTTAATAATCAACAGGTGAAATTAAACAACATTCAGAATGAACATTCAGTAAATATAGAAGAGTATTGATTATCTACAACATGTGACAATAGTACTAGATGATTATGAAAGACAAATATGAAGTATCCAAACTGAATCTAGCAATGTGATGGAGAATCATTTTTCATACTTTGTTTGAATACTCTCCAAGGAACTGGTTCAGTTTTCATGACCTTTCATAATAATTTTGTTTATAAGAATAATGAATATGCACCAACACCTAATGACAAAGAGCCATTAAGGACAGTAGGTAGTTCCTGTGACAGTTATTACAAAGAGGTTGATTAACAGCCATTAAATGTAGGTAACACATCATTTATGCTACTTGGGTATATACAACCTGCATTAATTTATGTATAATTAACAGAGACTGTTTAAATCTCAGTGCAATGTGTGAAAGTTATCTGTGCTAATGTGAACCTTTGGCTACGAGAAATAAAATTCATATTAACTTCAGATCTCCATAAAGACCAAAATAAGGGTAATTAATTTTTTTTACACACATTTGTATTTTCTGTGTCATAACAGGACCTTTCAGTGTAAATTATAAATGTATCTGCATTTATGTTTATAATAGCTGATTTACTGAAAATGATGTAGTATCATTTAAGTTCTATTACACTGCTGCCTCAATGGAACTATTGTGTAAACTTATATCAAACTGCACAGTACTACAACCCAGAAAACAGCCATCTTCATACTTCCTTGTTTTCTTTCCTTGAATAATTGTATTCTATATTATCAGTGTGCTGCATCAGTCAATTACAGGTAATATAAGGTAAGTCATACAGTACTATCTTGAAATAGTTTGCTTTCCAAGTTGCCTGTTGCATGTACTCAAAAGGCCCATAATTGCACATACTCTTATACAAGTAAAATAGGATATAATACATGTAGTGTAACAAAAATTAACTTTTATAATGAAACTGAGAGCTGAATAAGTTCAGAAAATTATTCTTCTGAGTGTGTACATGGCTTATACTTCACAAATAGCTGTTATGGAAACTGATATTTTAGGTTATCATAAGATGACCATGAGACAAATCTTTTGAAACTAGGTAAACTGATGTGCCTTGGGATACAAAACTGTGGATAACTTACACTATTATGAAGAGCCTTCAGGATCCAGGGAATTGGAAAGCAGCTAGGTGAATAAATTGAGTCAAAATCTTATCAATTTTCAGTACACCCATTTCTGAACTTTAATGTTACTCAGAGGTGTTAGAACAGATATTCAGTATACTGTAGCAAAAGCCTGTGGTTTGGTTCCATTCTATGAATCTCAAAACAATATAATATAACCTGTTTCACAAAGTAGTAGTTAAAATTATCCTTGTAACTAATATATTACTCTAAAAATCACACAATCAGCCAGCATTATTCTCTCATCTAGTATTAGTCTGCCATGCTGCTGCAATAAGGTTTGCTTACCAAACTTCCTCAAAATTCTCCATGCTACATGCCTTCCTTCACTTAATGATTCCAAGAGTACTATAAAAACATACAATATATTTTCTCCATTTCCATTTACTCAGTCTCCTTTCATAACAATGCTTAGATATGGGTATTATCAATTTTTTTTCTCAAAAATATCAGTTAAATTCACATGCTTCCCTTACTTACATTTATAATCAAATCAATTTAAACATAATTTTCAACAAAACTAGTGAAATAAACATTTAGATCATTACATATTTTTAAAATATTACTGTGAACTTTCTATTGTGTAACATTACTCCTCCAAGCATAAAAGAATTACTTACTGTGCATAATATTAAGGAAAAAATGGTAAAAACTGCAACAATTCAAAACCAACTGCTTTCCTATAAATCAGGTTAAATTTTCTCAACAATCACTTTAAATGTAGTAACGTTTATAGATGTTTTGGGCAGTAAACTTGAAGGAAGAATGTTTCCAACAGTTGCATTCAACCTCTAAACTTTATGTAGCAACTAGCCTAGAACCCAAATTTGAGTTCATTACTTGCACTTGAAGATTACATAGAACGCTATTTCTTGGATACTGCAATCCATTATTAATTATGTGATCCAGCAACAACAGTCAAGTTTCCACATACCGGTACCGCAAATATACGTCATACACTCCGCCAACTTAAAGCAATAGGTTATTTATCTGTATGTTGGTAAAATGCTTTTGGAAGCTGTAGGGATATGCAGCTATTAATGTGATATCAGAACATTCGTTCTGACATCTATCCCAATTGGCTTAGAATTATTTGGAGATGGTACGTACTAATCACGAAGGATGCCGCTAGTCACTATATTCAACGCTCACTCGTGCATGGAACCTTTTCTTGAGAGTCACAGAGACTTTGTCTTTCTGTAATGGTTTGATGTCCCGTCTATGTTTGTTTCGGATCATTACAATACTGGGTTGACATTGCTTTCCTGTGGAAATAACATCTATTTGTTTCAATTAATACATACAAAAATGCTAAATTTGAGTAAATAACATGCATAGCCCTGTCAAATTACCTAATTACATAGTTATCCCATTAATCCCAATGCTCTCTGACTTAGAATTAAGCATCCTATTTCGAAATTCAAAGAGTATGAGACAGGAATTCGGGATTGGAAAGATATTAAATAGGCAAACTGTTTTCCTTAATAATGAAGCAAATTTCCGAATTCCATTTCTATAAAACTGATCACACAGTGCGATTATTTACGTTGTATGAAAGATTCAATTGCGTATGGTTAATTAGCCTCTAAAATGTTTGGTTTGTTTATTGTTATGGCAGATTCAACATGGCTACTTCAGGATATGTGACTTATTTACTTTTTATTTTTACTTTTACGTTGTGTACAGGTATTTGTGACTTTGGGCCTGTTTCTTTTTGATATAATTACTTAAGTATCTGCTGATTTTCTCAATATTAACGTGTATAATCGATTATGTGTAAAGTGGTTCATTCTAAACCTCATCTTTTATATTTGATTCCAAGGGCAATGAGCTACGTAATTTCTTCTTAGGACCTAGGTACCGTGACCTATGTTAGTTAAACCATGCAATGATGTATTGTGTTTTAATTTGTTAATAGTGTGTTTTAAACATATAGGTGATTTAAGGGGGATGCTGCAAGAGAGTGATGATCCTCTAGATCCACCAGAACCTCCTGAGCCTCCAGGGAGTGAAACAGATCAAGAACATTTAAGACTACTAAATGCTCAAACAAACCTTATTCTCTCTTCTACTAAAAAGTACAAATGCCATTCCTGCGAAGCACCAGATTGTACAACAACAGCTCCATGCACATCAGCACTGGAAGTATGTCATACTTACATGTAATTGTAGTATGTGATTGCATGCAGTTTACATATTTTGCTCATTTGGTGGGATTGATTTGTCTCGTGTTGTGACTGAAATTTTGTATGTTCAATTTAATTCCATACATATTATCTTGGTATGGAGTGAATGTCCGATAGTGTAAAACAGGTTATCACATCAATGAACGTGCTTGAAAATTATGTTAGATGATTAAACAAATGTTAGGTAATTTTGGTTTAGTTCATATCAGACTGTATTACCATTAAGTGGTTCTATTGTATTTTATTGCCTAAATAATAATAACAGCAATAATAATTTGCTTACTGATAGTATGATAATACATACAAGCTTTCATGTTCCATAACAACAGGATTTCTGGGTTAGGTGAATAACTATCAGTTCATCAAGTAAGCCCCATTAACTTATAATAAATTTGTAATCAATTTGTTTGAATTTGAATTACAGAGGTCTTTACAGATTTTATTGAATGGTGTGTTATACCTTATTTATCTTTAACCTTTATTTTAGTGTTGGAAGTCCCGTGTGCGAGATTCAAATGGTGTGGAGCGTTTGTCTCGAGGCTGCATCACCAATGCAGAGCAGATACCTCTTTACTGCAGCGTACAATCGTATAGCTCTCGTTCAGGGCATACAAAGCGTCATGCAGATGGACAATATGCAATAGATTGCTGTACTGGAGATTTCTGCAACAATGGTAGCTTTCCTGATCTACCACCGATTGTATACAAGGGTATGTTTTATAAAATTAAATGCTTCTGTTCTACAACTGTAATTTGTAGTATTGGACTTTACTTGCAGTGTGGCCAACAGATCTAATGTAATCTAAAATATGTGAAATGTAAGTGGAGAGTCTGCCTCTGGAAGAAGTCTCATTCTTTTCTGTTAAGCCATACTCTTCTGCTAGTCATTACATTGCACATACTCTGTTGGAATCAATATAATTGAGAGACCAGTGCAGAAATTGATGCATTAACATGTCACTATTGTGAGCTTGATAGTTTTGTAAATGCACAGTAAAACCATTATAAGATCCAATGTGAGTAAAATCTGGCAACTTATCTTAATCTAACCATGTTGTCACTTCCTTACTGGAGATGCATGGGGGAGATTATCAAACTTTCTTGAAAGAATGAATGGGCAAGCCATTGGAGGCTACTGTTTACCTTTCTGCCGGTAAAAACAATGTCGCACTCATGTGCATTACAGTGAAACCTTGATGCATCATTTTTGGCGGGGGTGGGAAATAAAAACGATGAATACGGGAAAACAATAGTTGCGGGAAAGCATTAAAAATTTAAAAAAAACTGAATTATTCTCTTTCAAAGTTACTTCTTTTTACCAAAAAAGCCTTTAATGGACAACTGGTTTGTCGAAACTTACGTTTTAGGGCAAACAGAGCCCTTTCCACGTTCAAAATGTGTTCCTCGTCACGTTCACTAATATTATGCGCATAAAAAGAACGACTTCACTTTTGCCAATGCGCTTCGGCAAAACTCGGCACAGCTTCGGGCTCGCAATAACAGGAAGAATGGAAATACTATTACTGCCGATCTCAACAAAACGTAGCTGTAGAAGACACTGAACCACTGGAAACGAGATGAACCAGAAGAATGAAAAGTGTTGCTATCACCCCTGCACCGCTGACCCCTCATTCCAAAAGGATCTGTGCTGGTTGGGCGACATAACAGGTTACCGCTACTGCATATTCCAAAAACATTGTGCGTCTTTCGGTATTAATTTATCTCTAAACCCAGCATTTTAAATTCTAAAAACATGGCGTATATTTCGTTATAATTTCTCAGAAATGATCATTGCAGGAAATTTGTGGGCCGGGACTAAGATTTTTGAATGATCGATGCGATAAAACGATAGTTCGAGGAATGATAGAAGCGGGAAAATGTAACATTATTTTATATGGGATGTATCCGGGGCCGAACAAAACGGACGATGCATCCGGGAAAACGATAGTTCGGGGAACGATGGATAGAGGTTTCACTGTAATATTATGGTCTTAACTAATAAAACATTATAACTTGATGTGTGGTGATTTGTAAATACATTTCTGTTTAGCATTTGTAACACTGAAACATGTGATGTTAATTTTAAAGCTTGTTTGTGTTGAAAGAGGAACTTTTGTGCATGAAGACAGAGTAAAGTCTATTTTTGGTAGAAAATACTGAAAAGCACATGCTCTCGCATGTTTTGACGTAAATACGTCTATACCGAAGGGTCATTCGGCAAAAAAGTGGAACGAAAATGTGTAAGATCCGTGTCAACAAATCGACAACAATGGTTACCTGTTGTTGCATTGTTGTGTTACATTACTGCCGTCAACAATCCGCTTTCGTTATTGCGGAAAGAGCTGAGCTGTGAATCGCTTGTAGAAGAAGTGCGTCGTAGACTAGATAATTTTGACATTACATTTCCTTACATTACATTACATTCAGCTACCTTCCTTTCATTGTATTTATTGCTTAAATATAATTTAAATACAGAGACGTATTTACGTCAGATTCTCCGGAACCGTGGTTCCACTGTCAATTTTTCACTATTTTATTTTGTTTTTTATTGATGTTACAGGTCAGGTGCCACCTTACCTAGACAGTACAAGTTACATTATGAAACTCACACTTGCAATACTTGGTCCAGTGTTAGCTCTGGGTTTATTGGGTGCACTGGTGTTGCTTTTGATGCGACATACGCACAGAAAGAGGCTGATGTCTGCACGGAACATGGCAGATCCAGAGACTTATTATGCGTCTGATGACCTTCTCAGAGTAACTGCAGCAGGAGACAGTACACTCAGGGTATTTGAATGTTTATTTTCAGTCAGATACTAAAGAAACAGTGATGATATTGAATATAATTTGAGGTACAGTGTAAGACTGTAATCTTGAGACTTGTGGGGTGAGAAAGTGGGGCGAAGGAGGAAGGATGAAAGATAGCATTAGCCTTTAATGCTTCGGACTTCCTGCATTCCTTGGAAGTCTCAAGATTACAGTCGCGTACAATAATGTCATTTATGTACTGTCATATGGAGTGATTGAAAAGTCATACAACTCATTAACTCATTAGAGGTAATTATAAATAATTTAAGTTGGTTAAAAGAACAATATATGTGTTGCATTTTATTATTTGCAGCTGTAACTAAAGGAATTCAGACATTAAAGATCCCAAATAGGACAGGTTGTGGGACTAAAGGAATGAAAACTGTAGTAGAAACCAACTATTTATCAATTTTTCCTGTAGTGATGTTGCTTGGAACACAATTGAAGGTGTGATAGCGCATGTAATATAAACAAAAGTTTTGTTCTCACTGTAGACAGTTTTCCACTCTAAAATGAAAAAGATGTTTCTATCAGAAAGATTCTGATGTGTTTTTATGTTCAGTAAGACAAATATAATAGGAAGCATACTGGCAGTTTTAGTTATGTAATGTGATATCATCGAAGGCCAAGTTGAAGGAAAGCGAGGACTGGGAAGAAGACTGATACAGCTAACCGACGATCTGAAAGAAGGAAAGAAGATGAAGTTCCAGGAATTAAAACGAGAAGCTGAGAATAGGGAAAACTGGAGAGCTCTTTTTGGGCAGAGCAATGGACCTGTCGTAAGACAGAACACTGAATAATAATAATAATAAGCCTGCACACATAATAAATCCAAGATGTTTGTAGCTTGCAACATTTGTGTATTGACAAAAAACTGAGGCGTCAGGATGTTTTTCAAAAGTACATGCCATGCTTATCATTACACATTACCTAATTCCACATTTTTACTTGGCCTGCCAGACTGTTTTTGTGCATGAATTTACTGTATCAGATAAGTCTACAGTATTTTCAATAAAATATTTCTGTGATACAGGCAGTGTAAATGATTAGAAGAGTTCCATCGAATCTTTAGTGTTGGGTGAAGAGTCTGCGGAAAACATTCATTAAAGATGCTTTGTACAGAAATTATCTTCGCATTTAAGAAGATGTGAAACATATTATTGAGACATGCATTTAAAAAATTACTAAAGCATCTCTGCTGAGTTTCAACAAACATACAAAAGAGAATAAATGTGTGAATCACAAAAAATGGTCATTTTCAACAATTGCTGTGATAATAATTGTAATTATTTTTTATTACTTCCAATGATAGGCTGCTCAAGAGAATGATGGTTGGCAAGGGGGGCCTGCAGTTTTATGTGAATTCCAAACCATGATGGGGGTCTCACATTCTTCACATTCCCAAAGTTTTATCTTTGATGGAAGTGAAGGTCCAGAATCTGAGTAGAATAAATTACACACATTAGACTAGGGAATGAACTTAGAACCCTCTGAATGAGAATCCAGTGTTTTACTATGAGAAAACCACATATGCATGTGTCAGAAAGTAAGACTCGCGGTTCTCACAGCGGTGAGTATAAAGATTTCCGTCTTCTGGGTTGTGCTGTGTAGTCTGGTTGATGTTAACCAACGTTTCAGAGGTCATACTGCCTCTGTCATCAGGGCGATCAACGTTGGTTAACATCGACCAGACTACACAGCGCAACAACCCAGAAGACGGAAATCTTCATGTGTCAGAGTGTTTAGAACTTGTAATTCATCAAAAAGAATGGCGGTCTGTGTTGTAGGTTATTTTCTTCAATACACATGATTACGGTGTTTCTTTTCTATGTTTCTCCGGTATAAATACCATTTACAGTTTGGCATGTGCAAGGTAATGGGAAGCATTCATTATTTGTTTCAGGAATATCTTGAACACTCTTTGACATCGGGTTCTGGATCAGGTTTGCCACTACTTATTCAGCGCACACTTGCAAAGCAGATCTCACTGTCAGAGTGCATTGGCAAGGGCCGATATGGAGAAGTTTGGCGAGGAGTATGGCACGGAGAAAATGTTGCTGTAAAAATATTTTTTTCACGAGATGAAGCTTCATGGAGTAGAGAAACAGAGATATACAGGTTATGAACTTCCCAGTAAAGATAATTATTTTTCAAACAATAATAAAATTGGCTGTTGAATAGATTTTGAATTGCTAGAAGTTGTGTTGTTGTCTTCAGTAATATGTAGTGATGCAAAAATTGATTTATTGTCTTTTTATCATACACTGATGTGGAGTAGTGGTAGTAAGGCTCTGGTATAAAATCCACGCAACTTAATTTTACTTCTCTTTTTTTTACAATTAAAAATTATAATCACAGATTCATGATAATAGATTTAAAAGTTGTAATATGTTTAGCTGGAGTCTTAAGAATAAAAGCAAATTGGAAATGACCAAGATTTTTCACTAACTGTAAAAACAATAGATATTGGGATTCAGATTTCTGGTAACTAAATCTTTTAGCCACTAGTATTGAAAACAAATAAGAGTTGAATGTTAGGTGTCAGCTATATTATCTTGTCATTGGCAATTAGGCAATTATATTTAATTAATATAGATCTAGTTTTTCTTCATTTCCATTCTTATTCCATATTTAAAGTGAATTACTTTTATTTCATTCTATGGTGAATAACCATTTTGGCTAGTATGGCACAGTTAAATTACATGAACCAATCCACTGGCCTGCTTTAAATTATGATCTTGTACTGACAGGATAGAAGTGTAGGTCTATATACATGAGGTAAAAAAATTAATTAAACTGTTTTGGTATGATTAGGTGGGCTGTACCCTAAGGCTTAATTAGTAAAACATTTTCCTGCATTTGATTAAACTGCAGATAATATTTAAATTTTGTTTTCTTTCCTATAGCACTGTATTACTACGTCATGAAAATATTTTGGGCTACATAGGATCAGACATGACTTCACGCAACTCCTGCACACAACTGTGGCTCATCACGCATCATCATCCGCTTGGTTCACTGTATGATCACCTTAATAGAACCACTTTAACTCATCACCAGTTTATGAAAATATGCCTGTCCGCTGCTAATGGCCTTGTTCATCTACACACAGAGATCTTTGGAACACAAGTAAGTTCATAATAGTGTATTTTGTAAAGAATTTTTGCATAAATATATGTTTAAGTGGGCCACTTTTGTATGTTCAGTAAATTCTATTTTACAAGAGTACCTTTCTGTGTGGATCCTTGGCAAAAAAGAAGAACAGGGATCATCATCTAGGGTGCTGTGCTTTAAACCACGACAGGAAACATTAATTACAAAACTATATTGTGATACCAGAAGATGAATGGAATATCTCCAAGTGTCTAAGCATTAGGCTAATACTAATATTATTATAGCAAGCATTCATAATATGAAAAAAAGTGTTCAGTATCATGAATGCTTTTTACAGCTTATGAATTTTCTGATGTATAAAAATCTTCCCATCATCAAGAGCATCAGTATTTTACTTGTAACAACCCATTAAAGCTCATTATTTTTTCCATGTTATAATTATTTCATAAGGACTAAATTGGATGTGATTACTGCAGCCTTTATTATGTGAGATTAAAGAATATAAAATAATTATTGATCACTGACACATTTTGATTTTTTATACAATGTGTGTATTCTACCGCCACGGTGGTCTAGCGGTTAGAACACTGGCCTTGTAATCCTGGGGTCTCAGGTTCGATTCCCGGCGGTGCTCGATGTTATAACTTGTGATGGGCAAGGCCGTGGTCTAGGCAACACGGAGTTTTCCTCCGGCTTCCCCGGTTTCTCCGTGGCATCCCAACAATTACTCCATTCACACACAGAAGAAGGCAATGGCAAACCACTTCTGGATCATCTGCCAAGAACGTGTATGAACAGGTCCCAGTCCGAGAAGAGAAAAGGATGGAAGGATCCTGTTCATATGGACCTGTCGTCAGACAGTACGCTAAATAATAATAATAATAATAGTGTGTATTCTACTGTGGCTGTTTCCTGTAACAGGGTAAACCAGCAATTGCTCATCGTGACATCAAGAGCAAGAACATTTTGATGAAACTAAATGGATCATGTGTGATTGCTGACTTTGGTTTGGCAGTGACACATGTTCAAGCAACAGGTGAAATGGATGTTGGTGCAAACCCAAGAGTTGGCACAAAACGCTACATGAGCCCTGAGGTTCTTGATGAAACGTAAGTAGTTTGGTGTTCATATTACTCAAAGTTATTGGAATATATTGAAGGTAATTATTTTTGTAAGTTTGGCGATTTCCTATTCAGCATTAGTATGCACACTGCCTTTGTGTTATTTGTTCATAAGGGTTTAAGGATTTTGGGCTAGAAAATTGTGTTGCATATATGTGCAGTATCCCCCTTTTTCCTCTGTATGCTGACTGCATTTTTTTTTTGTGTTGTGGAATGCAATGTTACATTCTTTTGGCTGCTCTGCCATGTGCATATACTAAGACAAATATGTGTCCTTGAACTGCACAAACAGGTTTGTCGATGGTGAGTGCCTTTTCAGGTTTGTTACTGAAATTGAAATTTTTTGGTTGGGTTGAACTGTGGATCCACACATAATGAGTGATATCTGTTAAGCTTGTGTGTACTGTTATTACAACTGCAATGGTAACACTGCTAAATGTTTTTCAACCTTACAGAATAACGATTATAGGACTATGTCTATTATATAATTGCAATGGTAACCTGTTATGGGAATCTTGGCCTAATGACTTGTATTACCGTAAGTTTGTTAGGTCCTGTAGAGGCTCATCAAGTATATGCCATCTTCATAAATATGAGCAAAATATCTAAAAATACATCACTGGTCTCTTAAATGCTAGATAATTTAAATGAAAATCATCTCAAGTTTGTTCTGTACCTCTGCTTTAAAAACAGTAGTGACAAATTTGGCTTTGGGACAACAACAGCTTTATAATTTGTAATTTTAGTTGAAGAGACTAGTTTGTTGAACCCAATACAACCTCTTGCAGAATCTGTGGTCTCTGTGAAACACCTTGCATTTGCAAGGTTGCCGTGGCAGAAAAAATGTTGAAAATAGGTTATATTGCCTTTTTGAATTCAGTTTAAAAACTTTTTTTGTTCTTTACTTATAGGATCAATACAGAGTGTTTTGAGTCTTATCGCCGTACAGATATCTATTCATTTGGCCTAGTGCTGTGGGAAGTTTGCCGGAGAACTTTGTCTAATGGAATTGCTGAGGATTACAAACCTCCATTTTATGATCTTGTGCCAAATGATCCCAGTTTTGAGGACATGAAGAAGGTGGTTTGCATTGACCAGCAAAGGCCAAGTTTGCCCAACCGATGGGCTTCCAATGCGGTAAGATTTTGTTGATCTATGGTTGAACAGTGCAAAATCAGTAAGTTTCAGACCTGTAATACAGATCTCTTAATATGGGTAAGTGTATAAAAGGGAAGAATGAATCACGGGATGAATGTGGACTGAATGAGGTAGCAGAATAATAATGCATCTGACTTGGCTTCATAGTTATGTAGTTTGAATCCTGTATGGAGTCTGACTATCGTAAGATTGTGGTTTTCATCAGTCCCTACAAGAAAATTTTAGGCTATTGCTTTAAAATATTTGTGTTTACTTTTCTCCTCCTCCCCATAATCTCATTTGACTCTGATTAGAAATTTCTAGAGAAGACACTTGCCACATTCATTTTTCAGAACTGCCATCTTTTTATCAGAATAAACATGTTTGGGAAAGGGTTCAAGCAAAGAAAAAAGTTCTTTTTCTTTAAACACATGCTTTAAGCATAATAGCAGTCTCAAATCTTCTATTATGTGAAGGTTGTTAACTTTGTAGAATTTGAAAGTTTTCAAAGTGACATTAAATTTTATTGTCATTTGCCTGTACATATATACCTATACATAAATACAGTGTCTTCAGTTGTATGTATGGTATTACAAATACTATTGTCCTGTGAGGTTATAAATTTTTCTTCATCATCCTCTCATCTTATTCTGTATTGTATAATTTCTACATTAGAAACACTGTCACCAAGTGTCCTGAGAATCAGTCAGCCATACGCTGTCTAATGAAACCATTGTGTAATGCGTTTTTCTGTATATACTTTAGTTTTACAAGTGTGTGTGTATATATATATATATATATATATGATTTATTTGCTTTCCATCGTTTGTATTCTAGACACTTAGTGGGATGGCAAAGCTTATGAAGGAATGTTGGCATCATAATCCCAATGTTCGCCTACCAGCTCTTCGTATCAAGAAAACCCTGGTGAAACTTGCATCTTCCGATATACATGTGCATCTCGATCTTGATATTTGATCAGTTCCCAACTTTTGGTTGCATAACCAGATATTTTGCTACCATTTCTTAAATATTATGGTCACATTTGTCAGTACTCCTCCAAACTGGCTTCTTAAGAATCCTCGTCAGCCTGAAATATCACACCAGAACAAACTTTGTTGGAGATGTGTGCAAGACCTCAAGCCTAGTCATTGGGAAGTGACTGGTGGATATCAAATGTTTACATTAAAGGAGCAGATGTTTCCATTAAGAGTTGTGCATGTTTGGACAATGGAAATTTCTGTTTATTGCTTGTGGATTCAAATAGTTGGCTACCATGAAAGCCAGTGGTTGGTCTCAGGATTATTTGTACATTGTGTTAAGTGATGTCTGTCATATCAATCAGCTGAATGTTCAGAGACCTTTTGAAGTGCAAGTGACAGAAGGCCTTGTAGTAGTGTTTTAAAATGAAATCTAGATTCAGTAGTGTTGGCTACTGTGTCGATGTTTTTTCTATTTGTTACATACGTTATGTGTTTTATCATAGTCAAAATATTGATTTATCTGTATGGTGTCAAGTGAAATCCGTGGAGCAGAATCATTTGGAAAGTACTGATTTCTTGGTTTTATGTCCCAGTGTAATGATAAGTCATTTAATTTCTGTCACTCAGTTTTTGTAATTTTTCATTTCCCACTTTACAAAGTTTCCATATGTAAATGTTATTGCTAATTTTAAAAAACTTACCAAGAATTTTGAATAGTTGCAATATTTTCTTCCAGTTTTGTTACTGAATGTCCATAATTGTATCTAATGAGTCATTGGACAAAGTAGTAGAAAATGACTGCAATGAATCAGGGTTTATGAAAACTGACTTGTGCTCCATGAGTATCAAAGCTCCCCTCTTCACTGCTACAAAATGACACTGTGTACATAATACACAAAGAATGTATGTCCAAAATCGTTTTACTTTATTTTCATGTCATTTATTCCTTCTACTAAGGTTCATTATGAACAATAACATGAGTCCTGCAGACTAACCTTAAAGATATATTTCCAAGGAAGCTGAGAATAATACAAGTGCATAGGAAATTGTGGATAAAGGAGTCATCTTGTCTTTCATGTATTTCAAGCCATGGCAGAAGAGAACTTGAAGTGGGGAATAAGAAAGTGAAATTATGGTAGTAGGAAATTATGATGCAATATTAATGAAAGTGAACATTAGAACACTTCACTGGAAGAATAGATTGTGGTTAAGAGATGTCTGCAGTATTTATCTTTTCTGTTGTTAAGATGTCCATTGAAAATTGCTAAGCGATTTCGTGTATCTGGTGTTTCTAAAGTTGGTCTATATTTTTGATTCAAGAAAGAAGTTAAGGCTGTTCTTCTGGTGGTGTTTAGGACAGCATTTTCATAAGGCTGCTTGGTGTTCAACTTCCAATGTAATGGAATAGTGAAATCATGATGTTCATTGTTAAACATTATTCAGTGATATGAAGACTTAGGTGATTCCTTTATACTTTTACTTTAAAAAAATTGGAATACTTTCTATCCTTTTTCTGTGTTGCAAAATTTACTGTTGGCCTTGGCAAATGTAGTTTGACATCGAAAACAGAGAGAAGATGCAACTAGTTACATGGGAATGTTAAATGGGAATGCAATATTTTTGTTGTGTTGCGTCTGAGGTTTACTGTGTAGCATATAACATTGATTGTAGGTTACATTATTTATTCATTTTTTTAAAGTAAGTTTTGAACAACAGCATCATGAATGTGTTTCATATGCTATCTGGAAAATGAAAGATCAGTTGAAATAACTTAGCAATTGAAAAACAAGAAACACATGTGCTGTATTTTTTATCTTTTTAATTTGGTGGGTGTGAAGTTTTGTAACAGTCTTTTAGAAACTGGCATTATGTGGAACACAGTATGAAAACCACCGTGTTCACGTGCCACAATTGGTTTTTAGAAATATACAAGTTACTAGTATATCTCTCTGTAATTATGAAACCATTTTATTCTTGAGAATTTCATCCACCAATTTCTCAGAACATTATGAGGAATTTTTAGATTCATTAATATGTTCAACTTTTTCAAGTGACATTTTATGAAGTTTGCAGTATTTTTGATAAAGTTCCAAAGCAGATGTCAGTGCCATATTACTTATACTTTAATTAAACTTATTGCTTATAAATTAGCATTTATAATGAGACACATTTACCAGCTCTTATGATGCCATAATGAAAAAAGAACCCCAGATTTTTACAGTGTCATTTTACAAGACCATTTGATGGCCTGACTTGAGCATTGCATTGATTTTTTTATGTACAAATATGCAGACTTAGTATACAGAGGTTAAAAATTAAATCATCAACAACACTGTGACATGTTTTAACACACTTTTGAATAATTAAATTCAACAGAAAATAGCTTTGGAAGCACTGGCCACAAGAGATTGTGGCAAGCCTAGCAGAACCTGCCTCATCAACTCATTTAGTTCACTTGTAGGTGAAGGATTAATAATCTTAATTTACAAATGAGACAGAAGAATTTCAACATATTTGTTTCTTAGGTATGTATTTAGGGAGATGTACAAGTAAGTGTACTGTTCTGGGTTTATTTGTATACCATCTTTCTAGTCAAGTGCAGTGTCATTTTATTATTTAGGTTGGTATGATCAGAGAAAATGGTAACATGCGTTTATGATACTGCAGTGATTCTGTAACTAAATAACTGTAAAATTAGTTACGTGGATTGTGCAGGTGAGCATAAAAAATTGAAATGCTGTTAATACTTCGGTTATGAATGTTTATGATAATGAATAGATTTTTAAAAATTGTGGTAATGTAAAATGTTTGTTTTTAGCATTATTTTATCACATCCCTCCTTATGTTCCTAGCAATAGTTTGATGATTGTTATACGAGCTTGATTCAAAATGGAGATGGCAATTTTAGTGCTCTGTCAAATTGATAGTTTATTGTTCAAATAGGTTTGCACAGTTCTTTTATTACAAAGTAAAACTGTTGTTTGGCATATTTACAAGAATGCGTAATCTATAAGCAAAATACTTCAATTATTGATTTTATTTTTGTCCAGGGAATTTTGACCCCTGTTTATATATCATGATGACTTCAGTGTTACATATGCGTCAAGGATCTTGGAGTTGGATATTCTGTATGAAATGTCGAATCTTGGAGGACAGTTATAAGTA